GGGTCAACAGTGGGAGGGCTTCTAATGTCCTGGTCCCAGTGGTGGACCTCCTGATGGCACTGGTATTTCTGGCCACTGTGTGATACAGAGTGTTGGACTGGATGGGCCTTTGGCCTGATCCAACATTGGCATCTCTTATGTTCTTATGTTCTTATGTTACCCCGTGTCTCTGCATTGTATCAGCTGAGCAAGCATTCCTGTCCGTTAAAGCAAACTGCCAAGCTGGGCGAAGAAACTCACCGCTGAGAAAACAGTGTCTCTTTCTTTTCACCTTGGTTTGTGTTTTGTTCCAAAAGAGAGACAGACGGATGAGCGCGGAAGCCCCCCACACACACACACACACAAACACTGTCAAATTCTGAAGCCAGAGCAAAACAGGCACCCGCAGCACTTACGACGCCAGCCATCTGTACTCTTCGGCTGCCAAGTCCCCGCCCTGCCCCACCTGCGGCCTCTCCCGTCCTACTTACGGTGTGGTCGGGGGTCACGGTCACTGGCTGCCCGTCCTGTGCGTAATGTGTCTCAGAGTAACCCGGAGACAGCAGCCGGCTGAGAAAATAAGAGGGGGGGGCAGACAGAAAGGGCGGAGGTTAGAATGAACCAGGCAGGACCGGTCGGCCTCTGGTGCATCGGATTGTTTCATAGAATCCTAGAGTGGGAAGGGACCTCCAGGGTCATCTAGTCCAACCCGACACACAAGGCAGGAAACTCACAACTACCTCCCCCCACGCGCACACACTCCGGTGACCGCCGTTCCACGCCCAGAAGATGACAAAAAAGCCTCCAGGATCCCTGGCCAAACTGGCCTGGAGGAAAATGGCTTCCTGACCCCAAAGTGGCGATCGGCATTTCCCTGGGCGTGTCAGCAAGGGCCACAAAAACTAAGCACTGTCCTCCGCTCCTTGGAGGAAAGATGGGATAAAACGTGGCAGGAAGAAAAAGGACAGGACAGGCTCTGGCCAAGGACACCTGCATCAAGTGGAGCGACCAATTTGCAGTCTCTCATGGGGCAGGGAGTTCCACAGTTAAGGAACTGAGGATATATTTATTTGCGCAACCAGAGCCCGATGTTTACCCCCCGATTTTTCTGCTATGAGGATCTTGAAAGAGGTAGGATGTCTCAGATCTCCACGGAAATCTGTTTTGACTTCTGTGTGGGTTGCCATCCTCCAGGTGGGGCCTGGAGATCTCCCAGAAGTATAACTGATCTCCAGAAAACAGAGATCAGTTCCCCGGGAGGAAATGTAGGGTTGCCAATGCCAGGTGGAGCCTGGAGACCTGGAAATGCAACTGATCTCCAGGTTCCCGTGGAGAACATAGTTGCTTTCGAGGGTGGTCTCTATGACATGACATGCTGCCAAACTCTGACCTCTCCACACTCCACCCTCCCTTGTTGTTGGACCTCCAGAAGAACTAGTTGGCCACTGTGTGAGACAGGATGCTGGACTGGATGGACCACTGGCCTGATCCAGCAAGGCTCTCCTTATGTTCCTATCAGGGGAAGGCTATGGTCTCTGCGCCCTGTGGCTGGCCCTCCAGAGGAACTGGCCGGCCACTGTGTGAGACAGGAGGCTGGACTAGATGGACCCTCACTGGTCTGATCCAGCAGAGCTCTTCTGATGTTCTTATGAAGAGAAGGCCTCAGCCTCTCTGCCCTGTTGTTGGCCCACCAGAGGAACTGGTTGGCCACTGTGTGAGACAGGAGGCTGGACTAGATGGACCCTCACTGGTCTGATCCAGCAGGGCTCTTCTGATGTTCTTATGAAGAGAAGGCCTCAGCCTCTCTGCCCTGTTGTTGGCCCACCAGAGGAACTGGTTGGCCACTGTGTGAGACAGGAGGCTGGACT